TAAAGGTCTAAGTGAAGCACACCATCTGGATGAAATTGCAGAAACTGTCTCAACTCAAGGCAATTAAGAACTGCAGAACAGCAAAAGACCCTTTCTTTTTTTTTTGACAGGCAAAAAAAAGCACAAAGCAGGAAAGCTACAAGTATACAACTATAGAAACAATAAGTATACAAAAGTTCTTTCAGCTCTAAAGGGAAACATACATATATGGACAGCTGATCAGAGAATGAAAACAAACATCCTATGCTTTTTTTGTGCTTAGCATTATGAATAATTAAAAATATTTTAAAACTTGCCCCTTTTTTCACTATTCAACTGAAATAGAGTAAGATGCTAATGTTAATGTAGTCCTTTGATTATTATCTGACTGGAGTTCTTAACTGCTTCTCTTTTAATCTGAAATCTGCGATGGGACAGTGAAGTATGAAGAGTTTTGTTTTTTTTTTAAAAGGGTTAGAACTGAAGAAGCTGGAATCAGATTTTTGGCTGTGAGGGAATGAGGTGACAATACCTTACTACAAAAACAATCTGCTTTTGCCCTTGTATTTTCTCTTTTTTCCTGTGAAGAGGTTAAATGATGTTCTTTTAGAGTACCGATCTCTCTGCACATTGTGTCTTTGTTGCCCAGCCATGTGATAGTCCCGTACTCCTCATTCCACTTAGCTCTTCCAGCACTGTCAAAGGGTCCTGCTCATATACACCTCCTTCTTCATCTTCTCCACAGTCTTATTTTTTGGGTTCAGATGCTTCCCCCCTTGGCAAGGGGATTCTGAAGATAGGTACAGGAATTATGACTGTGCAGGAGCTAAAAGAGGTTCTGCATGTCAATACTGTATTTTTAATACGCTTGCTCAGAAGTCACTGCTATTTTACCTTGCAGGCAAGGAGCACTGCAGTGTTCCCTTGCAAGCTGGGAATTCTGGAGAATATCCTTCACTTCTACTGTGTAAAAGAAGTTATGAGTAGGCCTTTCCACCTCTGAGAAGTTGTTTTGGTCCACTTAGTTGCCCCTGCAGGCTAGACATGCTCATGGCTTGCAGAACTAAAAAAAAAAAGCAGAAGCTGTAAGACTTTTTTGGTTTGATGAAACAGTCATTCTGAGTCCTCTGTTCCTATACCAACAAGAGATCTAAAGACTAAATTCCCTTGTCTAAATCATATGAACATAAAATATGAACATATATTAATGACCTCTAAACCTATAGCTTTTTAAAACAAGCTAAGCTAAACTGAATTTCAGATTAAATAATTTTATACAAATCTGATGTTCAAAGCTAGATTTCTTGGAAGTGAAAAGACAAGCTTAATTACACTACTGATGACTTCCAAAGTGATTTACCTCATAGTATTTCACAGATGGCTTTCAATCAAATTAAGGATTTCTCAAAGGATGAAACTTTTTGTGATATCAGGCACATACAAGGCTGAGGAACTTGATGCTCTTTTTAGTCTCAGCCTTCAACAAGGTCTCCTGGGCCCTCCTGCTTAGGTGAACGTGTTCAATAGGAGGGACTATTGGGGTAGCTGAAGATCAAGTTGCAGTTTTGTCATATTTCAGCTCATATATGTTTGTATCTCCCCACTGTGGAATCCGGTGGTTTAGATACATGGGTGCTGACAGATTTGGTCAGTGTCCTTGCAAATCAAGGATAGGTTAAAAACCAGGTGGGTGAAAAAATTACTTGATGATCAAGCTCACAGTGTAGTGGTTAACAGGTTGCACTTTACCTGGATGCCTGTTACAAGTGGAGAAACAAAGGGAGCTATCAGGGGATGTGTCCTGTTTAACAACTTTACCAGTGACCTGGAGGAGGTCATGGAGTGCACCCTTATCAAATGTGCAGATGATACAAAATCGGGAGTCCTAGTTGATATGCTTGAGGGCATGGATGTCATTAGAGGGTCTGATGATGGCTGGAAGAATGGGCTGACAGGAGACTATGAAAGGAAGGACAAGTTCTAAGTGTCCAGCCTGGGAAGTAAGAGTCCTTTGCAGCGATACAGGAGTGCCTGGCTGGGGAGCAGTTCTGCAGGCTAAGTCCTAGGGGGCCCTGGCAGGCAGCGAGCTGACTGTGAGCCTGCAGTGGCCATGGCAGTAATGAGGGCACACAGCATCCTGTGCTGTGTCAGAAGAAGCACAGATTGAGGAAGGGATTACCTCCCTGCAATCAGCACTCATTAATCTGCATCTTGACTACTACAGCCCATTTTGGGGCCCCAGCAAAAAGATGCTGATAAACTGAAGTGTGTTCAGCAGAGGGTTACCAAGATGGCTGGGCCTAGAGCAGCTGTGCCGTGAGATGGGCTAAGGGAGCTGGGCTTCTTCAGCCTGGGAAAGAGATGGTTTCAGGGGACCTAACAGAAGCCTCCAGTGCCTGTAGGAAATGTGTCAAGGAGATAGGTCCAGGCTCTGGGTGGTGGGAAGACTGAAGACATGTCATAAATGAAGCAACTATATACAAGTTCAGACTGTATACAAGGAAACATTTTTTCACCATGAAGACAGACAAGCAGAAAAGCAGGTTATCCAGTTTCCATCCTTGAAAGTTTTCAATACCTGACTGAATATTAAAACAGCAATAGACAATGTTGATTTGACCAACACTGGTTTGACCCCACAGCTAAACTTGATTCAACCAGGATGTTGGACTGGAGGCCGTGAGGTCCCCTCCAGCCCAGATTTTCCCATGCTCATGTGAACATCAGCTGAATGTTGCACCACAGTAAACTATACAGCGTTACTCTGTACCAGTACTGAATGAAAAAAAAGTTATTACAAGATTAAAACAAGGTATATTTTTTTTCCCCACTGTTACCAACATATATAAGCAATAACTTGTAAAATCAGTAAATGACAAACATATTATGAAAAGATTCCAAATTAGGCTTACAAAAATATCCTAAGACAGTTCACTTCAAAATCCCACCCACTACTGTCATTAATAGGTATGTAAAATTCTTCAGTGAATAGAACAGTGAATGAACAGCACTAGAATAAAAATTTATTTTCCTCGTCTCATAATTTTTCTACTCTCATAAAAAGAGACACTCTAATACAAAATTCTTTTTAAAACAGATGGAGACAGGTACAGAAGACAGTTATCCAGGAAGCTAAGAATGTGGCAGAAAAACAAATTACAAAATCATAACCTGAAATTAGGCTACTAATAAATAATCACTGCTAATACAACCATATAAATATATAATTTAACCCTGTGTGTATATGCATACATACATATATTTGTATTTATAAGGCTGAACAATTTGCATTTGCAAAACATTACCATTTTGCCAAATTCTAAAGAACATTTTTTACAAAAAGAATCTGCAAGACAAAAGAAATATCCTTGAACTGTTCATTCTAAAACTGTAAGTGTAACTCAAGTGACACCCTCCAGGGACCAATGAAAGATCAGACCGAGTTATTTTTTTAAGTGTTTTCTGTTTAGTTCTATGACGTGTTATGCTCAGCACATGGGATTTTGAGACATCCTACACTCATCAAAGAGCACAGATACTTTCTCTAGGTTTGGTATTCCTCTCTGGAGGTCAGATAGGTAAAAGTTGGATGTGTGGACGTAAAACTAAAAGACTTAGTTTAAGTCCAAGACTTGTAACCTGGTTGCAAATCTTACAGGGACTGTCTCAGTCATCCTGTTTTATTACAAAACTCAGTGATGTTTACTCAAGTTACATCCAACAGTCATCAGACAAGATCAGAAATTGTCTGAAGAGCAGGGATTTAAACCTAGGATTTCCTACTCCAAAAAAACAGATATCACAAAGGTGGGATTTAGTTTTCACATTAAGACACCTAAATGGATGTTCGTGAGCTGTATATCCATGCTCACGCTATCACCACTGCTCAATTCAGTTGTCTAAGCACACACTTTAAGTGAGAGTGCCATTAAAGATGCTCCAGGGTATCAGAGGCATGTACATGAAGAGAGAAAATGTGATGCAGGTCTTAGAGAAGATCTGCAGTCCTTTGCGGTAGTAGCTGGATACCCAGGCCAAAACACTGGGGTACTTTGCAAGTGTTTCCTAGATTAGACATCTCAACCACAGGGAGACATCTAAATGCACGTGTCTACCTTTGCACATCTTCATCTTAAGGCAAGTCCCATCTTGGTGAAAAATCTCTTCAAGAAATGCGAGACAACAATCTAATGAGTATTCTGATTGCAGAGGTTATTGCTCCCACCAAAGTTGAGGTGCTCATTAATGTGGTTCACTGCATTATTTAATTTTCCACTGAAACAGATAAAGAGAGCCCAGGTGACCAGGTGACATCCCTTTTGCAGAAAGGCCAGCGTGTGTCTAGACTGCTGCAATGGCATTACAAGGGGAACTCTCCCTGCCTCAATGCTTTCAAAGCTGCATAACAGTTTCAAATTCCCGTCAGAGTATAAGTGCCATGTAGTTATGCCATCTCTGGACACAAAACCTCCTCTCTCTCTATGCTGTGAAAAAACATGTCAAAAATCATGTCTCAAGTGAGCAGTTACTTCAAAATTTACCAGCAATGAATATATTTCCCAAAATATCCATTGCTTTTCCAGTGGCCTAGAGAGTTTGCTGGTGAGAAAATGCTACAATCTGCAAAGAAGAAAATATGTGTCCCTTTGTGCTCGTGTTGTTTTACTAGTGACAAAAATATTTTTTGCCAGTCGATCAGCAAATGTGCAGTGGCGTGCAACCTAGTGCTGAACCTGTTGTTTGGAACTAGAGTCTTGAAACACACACAGTTTGCTATTATACAGATGCCAGTATCCTCCTGTGTTTTGTGTCTTTTGTTTACAAATGACTTTTGAGTGAAGCTTTTTTGAAAAAATGAAAATTATATCAATTAGATAACAGTTCATTTTGTTGACTTCTCTCCTTGTTCTTTTTGTAACCATGTTTTCAGTGCTGTGGAGGGAGAATTGATTCTCTTATTTTAATGAAACAACCAAACAAGCAAGTGAAGTAGTAACAAAAAGGCCATGGCAATTCCTGAGTAGCTACAAAACTTATATTTATTTTCTTTAGTTTGGCTAAACTCATCTGATTTTGTCATGTGACTATTCAGAAATACTTGCTTTGCAAATCAAACATTTCTGTTGAAAAAAATTTGCTAAAAGAAAGCATTAAATAAATGTTACCATATGACATATCAAATATGAAGAAACAGAACAGTGGCCAGTGTCAAACTAAGAGACACTCTTCGGGGAGCCAATTCACCATCACAGTAATTTACCTGCCAATTCACCTGCTTTCTAAATATTAATGTGTTTTACATATTTATAAAGCAAAGGTTTATTACAAAATAAATGCATTCAAATTAACAAGATAATGGTGTTTCAGAGAATTTTCCTGACGTAAAAATTGATCTGATTAAACAAGTGCAAGGGGAAGGATAAGGACTAATTCCCAAAATTTTTTATATTTACAGGAAATATGCACTTCTAGGAGACATAATACAACTAAAATGTTGTTTGTCTACTAGAAAAAAAAGTTGTTTATCATTATAGTTATCCTCTAGATCAATTAAATACTCTGGTTCTGTTAAGGTATTATTGAACTCACACTATAAAGACCTTTTATGTTTAAGATAATTTCTGTTAAAATATTTTACTTTAATTATTACTATGAATACAATACCATCACACAGGAAAACAACAATTAAAAATCAGATAAAATGAAAAGATAGAAAAAGGATTTTATCAATATTCATTAATTTTGAACAGAGGCGTTTAAAGTAACCACTAAATGAGTTATATTTATTCAGATTAGATCTCTGAAATCATTACTCAACTCAGAATGAATTAGGCCTACTGTACCTACACTTGTGCATACACAAGTAAAGCCAAACAGTATACGAGTGTAAGAAAGCTGTAAAACTGAGCACCAGATTTTATTTTGCTCAGGTAATGACTATTTTGATTAAATTGTTAACAAAGTATGTCCTATAAGTATTTGTAATGATGAGTTACCAAGTTTAAAAATAAGCATTTCTATTTCTGCCAACCAGACACGGTATCTAAATTATACAGAAGCTACACAACTCTAAAAGGACAGGCAATAGTTTCCTAACTTGGAATCTCTACACACATTTTATGACTCGACTTTAAAATTCATAGTGTTTATTTTAAACAGCACCTGAAACAACTTTCTGTGTTCCATTTTCACTGTGTACAGAAACAACAACATATTGTTTTCCATTACATGAAACAGCATTTATTCAAAATGGCACCTGGATTATTACAGTTTTTTCTACATTTAAGTTTGGAAATAAACTGCATTATCTCTGAAACTGGTGTATAGAAGAGTAGTTTAAACTAAATGTTTTCCAATAACAACAATTTTCCTGTCTGGCTCGAAAACCTTCCAATGCATACCCCCCAAACAAATGCACTGTTAAAAAGTAGGCTGCTTCTTTTAATCAATTTGCATTTCAGCTGAGTTTAAAAGAACACTCACTCTCCATAAATATAAAGAAAATAGAGGGAATTCATCTGAGAGGTGAAGAATAATTTGATCAAGGTTCTTCAGAAATTTGATTTTTTCTTCTCCTTCATAGTCTGAGCTCGAAACGTTACTTTCTTCTGTCTTATTTTGAAGAAGTTGTTCCAGAATCATGCACAAAGGAAAAGTATTCTCATACTGGGTAATGTCATACACAGACTGGACCTGAGAATAAAATAAAATCAATACATAAGCACAGTGTGAAAATGTTTCTGCAGCACAACATCTCAGATGACAGTGTAAGGAATACCGTTAAAACTGGCAGTAGTATTTACATAATCAGAACAGTTATACATTCAGGATGATTGTTTCTAAGAAATGCTTCCTTTTCTGGTGGTAACACCCAAACAACTAACACTCCATCATACTATGAAAAGTCAACACACCTCCTCTTCATGAGACAAAGAGAGTTTTCTTTACCTAATTATCCACAGGCTGTGACATACAATAGTGATGCACAGAAAAACAACAACAATAACAGCTTTGTTTGTTTTAGGCATATAATTAGAATTGGTGGTTTTCTGTTTTCTGAGAAATAAAATAAAAAGCAAAAAAGAATTTTTTACTCCTAAATATAGACAATCACCTATTCAGTTGACACCTCTAGAAAACAAAAGTCCAAATTCTCAACCTCAATAGAAAATACGCAAGCCAGTCCTGAGTCAGTTAAAGTGGAAGAGTCAGTTTGCCAAATTAGGTCACTGACCAAACTAAAAAATTTTTAAAAGTCTTACAGCTTAATCCAATATAAATTTACCTGTCCTGTATTTGGAAACTGGAATTTTAAACAGAAGCTTCCCGAATCTCTTCTGTACATAGAAAATAACTGGGAAGATAAAAACTTAAATCTTGGGGAGTTGTCTCTCTGGAATGAAATTCTGTGTCCTCCTTAACAGCAAAAATCTACTAATAATATGAGATGACTTTGTTCTGAAAAAGGCTGCAATTACAGTAGGTAGATGACCAGAACTGAAAGGTAAAATCATAGCTGCTAGAAAATTAATTATATATTTTAGAAAATGGACCAATAGCTCTAGCAAGCCTAAAATACTGTTTATGCCACTGGTACAAAGCCAGATGGGTCCAGGCTTTGATATGGTTCTATGACAAAGTATCAAATAATTTCACTCAGACTAAATTACATAGTGTTATAGAGTTTTTGAAGTGTGAAATTTATTATACAATTAGTGTTTTTACAAATAATGCAAGCTGGTTTTGATTCCATTAGAATCTAACAAAAATACAGCACTTTACCTTCTTCAGGTAAAACTGTGGAAGATTGTGGCTCAGAGATTGCTCACTTTGACTTTCTGTGCTAGTAGTTCTTAAACCTAAAATCTGTCTTGAAGCACCCTAGGGTAATGTTTTTCAGGTAGACTCCTACCTCAGGGACAATACTAAGAGACCATAGCCATCCTATTGTAAAACCTCAACATACCAAAGTAATTTTGCTGAGTTTTCTAGACACCTTAAAAATTAGGTTCATTACTAAAATACATTATCCCCAGCCTTGCCTACTCCAGTTCTGTCTCTCTGGAACCTGATAAGAAAAATCTACAGTTCAAAAGAAGTCAGTATTGACACTCTTATGAGAGCAGACAGTAAAAAATATAAAAAGACAATATTAAGTATTTGCATACTTCTAAAGTCCAATTAAATCAAAGTGTATAATCAGGGAAAACCTCCTTCCAAACCAGAGGTAAACAGACAGTCTATTTTTTCAAATACCAAACACCTGACTCTAGGACAGTCATGCCTGATTGTTTTTACTATTAACTAAGAGTGATGCGATAAATGTATTTACTTTGCTTTTTAGATTAAATTACATTTTTCTAAGTTGAGACAATAACTGTTATTAATGATTTACTGAATTTCGATGAAACAGATGATTTTAAAGCCCTACAAAGTCTGCTCTTTAGACTTTCAGTCTAGGGGTCATCTGACCAAACAGGCATCAGCAAACTGAGATAGTTGCCCAGCAGAGGGAAGCAGGGGGTGGAACTCAGTAGCCTGAATGCCGATATTTATTGCCATTTCAGATACCCAAGGGTATCCAAGGCATATCACGAGCAGAGCTTTACATAAGAGTCAGCAGCTGTAAGCCAGGAGGTGTACCTTAGGTTATCCAGTTTGGTATTAGATGCAGCATGTCCTGAAACTCTTTACAATGATAAACTGTGACTGTGCCCAGAAAAAAAAAAAAAGACTATGTTATAAACATGCATGTAGAAACAAAAATGATGCTCTATGCTTTTAGTTCCTGTAATTTGGATATTAGATGTACGATGTTACAAGCAAAAATCTTTGATTCTTAAGTGAGGAATCTATATAAAATGTTTTAGAGAAGCTCTTCCAAGCAGTTAGGCAATTGTGTTACTTTCAGTAGGTCTTAAAAATTGCAACTAATTGCAACTTAGTAAGCTATCTAATTTATTATGGATAATAGAAGCTACAAGTTAACTAATTAGCTTTTCTCTGCATTAAAGAAAGATTATTTTAGTCACACAGAACTGACTTTGAACAGAAAGGGTAAGTCTGATGGTAAGGAGGAAGTATTTTTTCAGATAATTGCTTTTCTGGAGACAAACACACTCTGAAATACTGTATTATAAAACCATGGGGAAAAAAAAAAATCAGTCTAGAACATTTTCTGGCTCAAGGTTTATTAACCTTTCCAAATCATTTAATAATCTCAACAAAATGTGTCTGTGTTTCTTCTGTTAGATGTTTTCCATAGCACTAATTGATGCAATTACTATCACTGTAAATTTATGCCACAGAATTTGTAGAGGGATACCTTTATTGTTACCTAGTGGTGCACAGTCAGGTAACAGAGCTACTAATCTTGCCCACCAGTGTCTGTAAGTGGGTAGCAGTGTATGTACATGTACACACACACAGAGCTAGTCCACCCAGAAAGTTCAGAGGGTATTGCTATAAATTAGCAAGCCTCATATATATGCTGCTATTCCAGAATATATTATTACCAACCTTAAGTAACACTAATTCTGATCTTCAGAGTGAATTTTAAGATAATCACTCTTGTTACAGATCAGATGGGTGTGCAATATGGATTCTGGACACTATCTTTTATGAGATCAGTCCTTGTCAATTTTGCCTCACCAAGTACTTGGAAATGTGTTTTCTAGCAGTAATATGCATTTTCATGTTCCTCAGTTTTTAATTTAATTTTTTAAATTATTTTCTTATTATGATTTCTCAATACAAACTTTTCAGAGTTAAATAAGTTAAAAAAATATTATTTATATAAGATTGAGCATTACATGAGATGGAAACAAGGGTTACAAGGACCTCCTGGCTGGATCTGATGATCTGCTAATCAGAATTAATGTATTTATATCATCAAGTTCAAAATGTAGAAAGTGTCAAAGCTTTTGGTTGAAATTAATTCTCCAAGCTTCTCCTACATTACATGGAAACCACCTGGAACAGAATGCATATTTACTACATAATCTGAAAGCAGGGAGGAAGTTCTCTTACCTGTCTTCTTTACAATGGTATCACAAGAACCAGAACTAATATGTTAAAGGAAACTGCTATGTTCCAGGTCCCTGGGCCTTTATCATACTTCCTCTTTGCAAAACAACAGATCAGATGGCCCTGGATCAAATTCCAAGCTGCTGCTCTCTTACTGGACAGAACTGGAGTCTTACTGACAGGTCATGAAATAGATTAGTGCAATTCTAAATTGCACTTAGAGTATTTCTGTTTTCTTGTCTTAGTGGTTCATGCACATTTATTTAATTTATTCAAATGCCCTTAAAAACAGCAATATAAAACAAGAAAAGGAAAATAAATTTAGCTTTGAATAAATTCTCTACAATTCTTAGGTCATTTCAGCAGCCACAAGTCATATTTCTAGTGATGAAGTCTGTGAGCCTGGAATTTTCACATGCTTCAGACTGATACTACTTTCTCAGTATAGGCAAGTAACTTTTATTCCTTTTATATCTCAAAGGACCTACAGAATAGAGATAATACTTTGACAGTGCAAACAAAAATTAGATGAAAAGAAAGAGGGTATGTTCATGGCAACTAGTATTTGCTTCCATGCAGCTCAGATACTTATGTAAGCAATGGACAAAGTGTCATCAACACCTGCACACTCTCTGTAATAAGACAGAAGCTGCTCTAACTGGGGAAAACTTCTTTTTGGTTTAGAATGGAAGACCGAAATGTCAGCATTTCGGACAAAATTAAAACAATTAAAATTAATTTAGAAGCACCACTATGTTTGATTAATGACAAAAAGCTTCCCTCCTTTTCTATTTCTATAATTAACATCTGCTTAGACTAAAAAAAAGTCCCATGATGATATCATGTTTAAACGTACGTTGCAACAAATAATTATACACAACATAGTGCTGTATAAAATACTGACATATCGATACAAACTTTAACCAAACTGGAAAGATGAGTGTTTATACACTTCTGCTGTTTAGGAAGTCATAAAATTAACACTTCTAGAAGATAGCCATCTTAGCAGAAAAGTATTCTGTCCAAATCTGCTCAATCCATCATATTCTAACAGTTTTGCTTCCTGTAAATTTTTTCTTGCAACTTTTGCCTCTCCCATTTCTTGGAAAACCTTTCCTATGCAGCAAGGATATAACTTCTTTTGCTAGCAAGGTGTCTTTTCTATGTCTCAATACAAAGTTGAAAGTTGGTATTTCTCCTCTTTTACATGCATATTTTTCAGAGAAGCATAAGGGGCAGATTGGAATAAACAACAGGATCTGCTAAAGCCTGGCTAGTTTTGCCTTCCAACGGAAGCACAGGCAGTAGGAACTGCAGCACCACCAGCTGCTGGGCTGTGACCACTTAGGGAGGATGGAAGATAGAATAGAACCAAATCTGCCATCTAGCCATTTCCAGGAAAAATTCCTCATGGCCTGTCTCGTCCTCAGGGAAGCAAATGTAGCCAAAGTTGCTATGAATTTTCCAGAGCAGGCAGAAACAGACAAAGAGCATACATTTTTCTTGATGCACCTACCACTGACCAACACGTCGTCTCAGCAAATAGTCCCAGTGCCCCTTTGCTTCCTTGCAGGTAGCTGCTAGTACAGGTATGTACATGTGCAGACTGAATTCTTGGCAAGCAAATTCCAATTCATGGGCTAGGAGCCATAGAGCAAGTGTAAGCT